CAGAGCTTGCACTACGCGTCATTGCGACGTGTAGTTACATTTTTTGAGCGGTGCACATTAGCGACGCCAACAGCCACGGCGTGGGCTATGCGTCCACGCGTAGGCCGCGCCGTATTATTCACGAACGCTTGATGCAGAAGTATAAATCAGCCTTAATTCTGTCCACAGAGATAATCAATTCGCAGTAAATATCACAGAAAAAGAAAAAATCAAAATGTCTGTTTTTTTTTTTAACCAATATCGTGCAGACGTAATGGAAATGCGGAATAAACTTGGACGTAGCAAACTTTACACCCATGTAGCCAATTGGCTGTCCCCTTCATGCTCGGCTTGTCTACTGTTGGTTTCTAGGTTGCCAATACTACAGAGAGCTGCTCTAAAAACTTGATGGAAAATCCCTTTTTTTTTTTTTTTTGCAAACTTTGAAAAGATTTGCTTCATGTTAGGAAGGAAACCAGGCATTTTCATATTGACTAATTTTTCAGTTTTGCGTTGAGGCTGGTGTCGATCATTCGAATTCATGTGGTTGTTTCTGCAAACACTGAACTCAACTCGCCTCATTGTTGACTGCTGGAGAAAGCAGAACTGTGAAGCGCGCTGGTCTAATTTTGAGGGGTTTTCCATCATCATCATCTGCGTCAGTACAGTAGAGCTGCGTGTGTATGTCAAGTGCTTTGTCCTATCTTTTTCTCTCAGATTCAGAGAACTGTTTGTTACATTGTCATATGAAGAGTTCCTTTTCTAGTCAGCTTTTTGTAATGGTCTCAGTTTTTTTTTGCAATCTCTGTGTTGCATCAGGTTTAAGGTCAGGTATCAGGTGTTGCATCAGCTTTGAAGAAGAAAAAAAGCAACTTTGGAAATGCTTTTACCACATTTGATCACAATCAGATCACGGAAGCTAGCAACCTTAGAAAATACTTCTTGAACTGTATTATTCATCTTTATCATTATATACATTATTATTATTATTATTAGGGACCGAGCACCAACAGTGTCTAGGCCAGGGGTCACCAACCCTGTTCCTGGAGAGCTACCTTCCTGCACATTTCAGTTGCAACCCTGACCAAACACACCTGTTTGTAATTATCAAGTGCTGCTTTAGGTACTATTAATTGGTTCAGGTGTGTTTGATCAGGGTTGGGACTGAATTCTGCAGGAGCGTAGCTCTCCAGGAACAGGGTTGATGACCCCACCCTGCTGAAAAATCCAGCTTAAACCAGCCTTGGCTGGTTGGCTGGTTTTAGCTGGTCAACCAGGCTGGTTTTTGAGGGGTTTTGGCCACTTCCAGGCTGGTTTCCAGCCATTTCCAGCCTGGTCTTAGCTGGTCAGGCTGGGAGATGACCAGCTAAAACCAGCTTGACCAGCCTAGCCAGGCTGGGAGCCCAGCCAAAACCAGTTATGTCCAGCTTAAACCAGGCTTTTTCATTTTCCAGCTAAGACCAGGCTGGAAATGGCTGGAAACCAGCCTGGAAATGGCCAAAACCCCTCTAAAACCAGCCTGGTTGACCAGCTAAAACCAGCCAACCAGCCTAGGCTGGTTTAAGCTGGATTTTTCAGCAGGGCAGGTCTAGGCCCTATTGGAATTGCTCAGTTTCTTCTTGTTCTTCTTTAGAATTGATAGTCTAAATATGCTTGAAAACTTAAAAACCTTTGTATGCACTAGACGTGGTGAAAATATACGTTTGTTATGGGCTTCAGATGTGGCACAATGGCTCGACAGCGCCACCTATGCACTTTTGAAGGAGTGGCCCCCTAGCTACGTTTCACGTACGAAAATTTGACGCACACTCATCAAACAAACCTACAAATGCCTACAAAAAGGCTCTTGGAGCGAAATCTCAAACCCAACAGGATGTCAGAAATGTTTTTCTAAGTTATATGCTTTGTTATTATTATTATTATTATTATTAGTTAATTTTTTTTTCATTAATTCAAGAGCAAATAAATAGTTCTAATATACACATAAATTTTACACATAAAAAACATGTTTCCCTCTGTCAAAACAATGGACATGGAGAGACCACTGTTTCACTGTAGGATGGTCTGGAGTGGGAGCTCTGAGGGCTGAATGTTATAGTAGGAAAAAAGCCATTATGTATGAGGGATTTGCATGTGTGATTGTCTCACAGATGGACTGTAACGGCCACAGTAGATGCCGAGAGTGAGATCTCACACTTGCATGTTGAATAAAACTGATCCACAGCTTGTCTACTTCGCGATGTTGCTGGTCAGCGACGACCAAAAAGCGTTCAGATTGATTTATGCTTTGCCAGTTGGAGTCTCTTGAGGACATTTGCAAGGATTTATGGATATCTAATGTCTTGTGCCGAGTTCATACTGCATGATTTTCAAAGTAGTCGTGTCACAGATGTTTCCACACTGCATTTGGGCTAGCGTTTTGTCGCTGCTTTGTTTACACTGCAACATGGATCGGCGACAGGGGTTTTCACACTGCATGACTTCACAATAGGCCGACAACTTCGTCCAAACAAACTAAAAACACAGTATATCTTTTGTTATTAACTACATCATAAGACAGGCCTTTAATGGGGTAGAAAATGCACATATTTGCTCACCTGGGTTTGAAGGGAATCAGCAATTTCTCCTCAACTTTTTTCTTTTTTTACCCGGTTGTAATATTGCTCACATGACTGATGCTCCTGCCAAATTTACATGAGTTTTTCCTCCAATTCTTGAGTCCAGATAGACTGAAAATGAGCGCTTTTAACTCCTCCCCCATCCTCCCCGCTGGCCTGCAGATACCCACACTAGTGGATTCTGCTCCCGCATTTGCTGTAGGCGATCGACGTTGTTATTTTCAACCAGAACACATTCCTCAAGGCATGATTTGAATCACTGACAGCACCAGATATTTAGCATAGCAAATATCTCACGGGCATCGGCGACTCATCTTTGATAGTTCACACTTTGTGATTGTTACTCGCGTAAACGAGCACCGATTTGTCAGTGATTTCAGGCATTTGTCAGCGAAAATCAAAATCCGAGCCAAAATCATAATCAAAATCCGAGCTAAAATCATACAGTTTGAACTCGGCATTGTGGTCACTCATATGGTTTTGGAGCTTTGGGTTTTTTTTTTTTTTTTTACTCCTGAGCTAATTACGGAGTACCCGTGGGGTTTTAAAAGCATTGAAAAAGTCTGATTTGATAATCTCCAATTAAAGCCTTAATAGCCTTGAATTTGGTATACAAAGTCTTGGATTTTGTTACAAAGGTCTTATTTTATTGATTTATTTTTGACTTTCCTAGGATTGAGTTCATACTGCAACAAAATTAACTGTTACTATTGTAGGCTAATTAAAAATTCATGCAGCATAGCGTTGAGTACTCCTCGCCCTCCACGTCATAGCAGAAAGCGCGAAAGTGTGCGCACCCGTCACTGATTACTAAGGCCCAGTTTACACTAGTGCGTTTCAGTTTTAAAACGGCGTTTTAGATCAAAAACGATCCGCGTCCACACTATCGTTTCACCTAGCGTTTCTGAACATATCTCTGTCCACACTACATCACCAAAAACGTATATCACTTGACCATTCGCGCACTCTGGGCATGCGCATTCTAGTATAAACAGATAGCATGTGTCTCGCTCTGCATTTGGTTATTGTTAGTCAACAAACGCCGGTTGAACAATGAACGCAATGGCAAAGAAAGCAAGAGAGGTATTTTTGTGGACAGACGACGAGGTCTAGTTGTTACTTAACGTAACAAATGAATAACTGCACAATGGCGCCTAAAACAGACAATAGTGCAAACAACGCTCACATTTCTGTGCCCATGTTCTTGTTTATAGTGAAGGCTGGTCTGCTGTCTTCCGGTAGCGTTAAAGCCATGTGTTATAGTCATGTGATAGTGGCTTGACGAATAAGGGAAGGATAATCAGATAGCGACCGATCCGGTAGCGAATCTCAGCAGCCCCGCCTCCGTTTTCAGATGTCTCCGTTTTCCCCCCATCCACACTGAGACAGTTTTTTCAGAATGAAAACGGCATCTCCAGAATTTTCAAAACGCTACGTTTTCGGTGCTCGAAAACTCCGGCGTAGTGTGGACGGATGCCGTAACCGTAGCAAAACTTATTCGTTTTCAAACTAAAACGCATTAGTGTAAACGAGGTCTAAGTGAGGTACAGAACAAGATAGTCGCTATAGCCCAGTTTGTCGGCTAAAATGGGAAAGTGTCGTTTCGATCTGCTGTGGCCAAGGAATCCGAATTAAGTTTGGGCCAAGCCTGTGCCAGGAAATGACCGCGATGCCTACTGCTGTTGGTGCCGGAAAACTTTTAAGCCAATGACGATGTATATCCTTATAACTAAAGAACTGACTGACCAAGTTTGTAGTCATGTTTGACCTAAAGTTGGACCTTTATTTGCTACTGGGTGGATGACCACGCTGTTGCGTATGTATAAATATAACTGATAATTGAAATAAAATAGCCCACTTGTACATAAGTATTTTCTAGGGATCAAAAATTAAACAGATTTGACATTTTACCCTTATACTTCTCTCAGAATGGGTACGAGATGGCATTGAATTTCATTTGAAATACTAATATAAAGGTCTTAAAAAGCCTTGAATTTCATTTGGCGGATCCCGGAGGTACCCTGTAATTATGAGTATTGGAATGTGACAAATAGTGAAACATTGATGACTAATGTGTCCGTTTGTAATCTTTATTAATAATTTTCCTCATTCCCTGATGCCTCTTTGGTTTAGATTTGAAGGAAATATAGTTTGTTAAAGGGACAGTTCACTCGAATATGAAAGTGGTTTTTAAACTTTTATGAGTTTCCTTATTCTGGTAAACACACATACTGAAGAATGTTGGGAAAAAAGCAGTCTTGAAATCCATAATAGGAACAAAAACTGCTGTTTTTTTTTCAGCATTCTTCAGTATGTCTTCCTTTTTATTCAATTGACATTTATGTCCGTTTTAAGATGTTTGACAGACAGTAAATAATTATTTTTTCTGTATTTTTTCCTCAGTGCCCGACGACCTCACACCAGAGGAGCAAAAAGAGCTGGAAAACATCCGGCGCCGAAAGCAGGAGCTGCTGGACGACATTCAGGTAATGAAGAGCTAAAGTGAATCATTCCTTCAGATCCAGACAACTCGGTGTGTCGTTTAAAAATGGGATTTAAAAACCTTTCGAAAGTATAATCATTAATAATCATTTTTGTTGAACTTTTTTTTTTCTCTGAAATTTTATTTGTTGCTTTTTAAACAGAGCAGCATTTTCAGACATTTTCACAATATTTCACATTATATGTATTTTTTACTTTTGCAGAAAGTCGTTTTCTTTTTAGTTTGGCTGGAAAAAAGCAGTTTTTATATTTCATTTAAGGTCAATATTTTTTTATCCCCTTTAAGAAAATATATATTTTTCCATTGTCTACAGCCAAATTAACTTAATTTGCCCAGTTATCCTAATTAAGCCCTCAAACTGCACTTGTATCTTGCAAAATAACTAATAAAATATGTACTTTCTCTTACACTCACCGGCCACTTTATTGGGTACACCTTACTAGTACCGGGTTGGAACCGATTTTGCCTTCAGAACTGCTTTAATCCTTCGTGGCGTAGATTCAACAAGGTACTGGAAATATTCCTCAGAGGATTTAGTTCATATTGACATGATAGCATGACGCAGTTGCTGCAGATTTGTCGGCTGCACATCCATAATGTGAATCTCCCGTTCCACCACATCCCAAAGGTGCTCTGTTGGATTGAGATCTGGTAACTGTGGAGGCCATTTGAGTACAGTGAACTCATTGTCATGTTCAAGAAACCAGTCTGAGATGATTCAACTTTATGACATGGCGCATTATTCTGCTGGAAGCAACTCTCAGAAGACGGGTACACTGTGGTCATAAAGGGATGGACATGGTCAGCAACAATACCATTGTAGGCTGTGGGGTTTACATAATGCTCAGTTAGTACAAATGGGCCCAAAGTGTGCCAAGACAATCTCCCCCACACCATTAAACTACCACCCTGAACTGTTGAAAGCAGGATGAACCCATGCTTTTATGTTGCTGACGTCAAATTCTGACCCTACCATCCGAATGTCGCAGCAGAAGTCCAGACTTATCAGAGCAGGCAACGTATCTCTAATCTTCTATTGTCCAGTTTTGGTGAGCCTTTGCGCATTCTAGCCTCAGTTTCCTGTTCTTAGCTGACAGGAGTGGCAACCGGTGTGGTCTTCTGCTGCTGTAGCCCATCTGCTTCAAGGTTGGATGTGTTGTACGTTCAGAGATGCTCTTCTGCTTAACCTTAGTTGCAACGAGTGCTTATTTGAGCTGCTGTTGCCTTTCTATCCGCTCCAACCAGTCCTCTTGTATCAACAAGGCATTTGCACCCACAAAACTGCCGCTCACTGTATATTTTCTCAATTTCGGATCATTCTCCGTAAACCCTAGAGATGGTTGTCCGTGACAATCCCAGTAGATCAGCAGTTTCTGAAATACTCAGACCAGCCCGTCTGGCACCAACAGCCATGCCACATTTAAAGTCATTTAAATCTTCCCCATTCTGATGCTCGGTTTGAACTGCCGCAGATCGTCTTGACCACGTCTACATGCTTAAATGCATTCAGTTGCTGCCATGTGATTGGCTGATTAGACATTTGCGGTAACAAGCAGTCGGACAGGTGTACCTAATAAAGTGGCCGGTGAGTGTATGAGTTGTTAGAAATGAGTTATTCAAACTGTAATGTTTAAAAATGTGTTCATTTTTTCAACAGCAATATTTGAAATAGATCTTACATCTCAAAGGAGGGCTTATAACTTTGTCTTCAACTGTGCAAACGGAAATAAAAGAGAAATTCCAATAATAATTCACTAAGTACCAACACGATCGGTCCAAAAAGGGAAGTGACTCATGAGGACAGGAATTGGGTGGGGATGTTTCGTAAAGGACACTCATACACGAGGAAAACACTGATCACATTCACTCTTTACTGAAACACAGTCTAGTGGATTTGATCAGTCATCATGACCTCTAGTACACTACAATTGTACTTCATATTCATTTCAGTTTCCATGGGACTGTCCCACTGCACACACTGCTTCATTAAACCGGTTTTCTACAGTTATCTGAGCCACTTTTCTTTGAGGAGATGTACGTCTTTAAGGAATATGGGTTTTGCTAAGTTATAAACCGAAAATGAACAAATACTTAAGGGAATTTCCTCACTGTACGGCAGGGGAAAATGAATATGAGGAGGGAAAACTCTTCATGTTGTGACCTCCAGCAAATGATCCTGAAAGAATGATTTGAGTGGAATCAACACAGTTCTTGAGGTGTTTTTGTGGGCAGCTTAATTGTTTCATGTTCAGTCCACTTAAATTAAAAACAACTAACTTAACTCGATTTGTGTTGGGACACATTAAGGACGTGTGTGGAACCCTGCATTTTTTACAGAGATGCAGGCGTGTGTCTCAGCCTCATTAATCTCTCTAAAACATGGTAAAATAATCCAATTGTGATGTCTCTAGTCTTTCCTCTGGGGCCGTTCTCCTGTTGTCCTCCTTTAATATCATTTCTATCAAAGACCGTCTAGAGCAAACCATTCATCCGCTGGAATTAGATTGGAGCCGCTAACGTCTGGAAAGTCTCTTCTTTAGACTTTGTCGTTGTGTTTTAATCTTGCGTTCAATGAAATCCACTCTGCAATAAATGTGTGTGTGTTTAAAAGATAAAGTTCATGCTTGTATGTTTTGTGGCACATGTTGATATTTTAAATGAATGATCGTAAACAAAATCCTCACTGCTAACTTTAATTTATTTTTTTCATCGTTTTGACTGTAATCATAATACGGCATAAGAAAAGTGTGTGTGTGTGTGTGTGTGTGTGTTAAACAATGAGGAAAAGTTGATTTGTCATTACTGGATTTTGTCAGTTCATGAAAGGTTCCTCAAAGACTGATTACTTGCTGATTTTACTTGTTTTTTCCCCCTAGTTTTATTTATTTTTTTGTTGGACATGTTGTTTTTCCGTTTTTTTGGACATGATTCTTTTAGATTTATTATTTATTTTGTTGTGTTTTTGCTTTTTTGGACACTTTTTTTTTCTAGACTTTTTGACCGATTTCCTCCCTTTTTTTGCACATCTTTTTTTTTTTTTACATGTTTTTCTCTTTTCTCTTTTTTTTTTTCAAGATTTTTTTTTTACCATTCCTCCTTTTTGTATGTTTTGTATGTATATTTTATTTGTAAATGTTTTTCCTTGCTTTTGGACTTTCTTTTTTTCAGATTCAATAAAGTGCCTCTTTTTTATTTGTGTTTGCTGTCAGGTTTTTTTTTTTAATTTGGACGTTTTTTTTTTTTAAAGAACCTTTTTAGATTTCTTTTTTTAATTTAAAAATTTTTTTTTTTACTTTTTTCAAACTTTCACTATACATGTTGTTTTTGCATTGGTTTTTGACATACTAATTTTCAGAATATTTTGTTTTTATTTTTTTAATATTTAGATGTTTTTTTTTCTGATTTATTTTGAAACCTGTTTTTCCTCTTTTGCACATGTATCCTCCAGTTTCTTTATTTTGTTGTTGGTGTTTTTTTATTTTTATCTTTTATTAGATTTTTTTTCAAGTTGTTTTTGAAAAAAAAATCAGATTAATTTAATATACAGTACATAATATTATACTAGATTTTTTTCAAGACACTTCTTCTGGACAGCTTAAAGTGACATTAACTAGGTTACAACTTAACTAGGTTGATTGGGTTAACTAGGCAGGTTAGGGTAATTAGGCAAGTTATTGTATACTGATGGTTTGTTCTGTAGACAGTCAAACAAATATATAGCTTAAAGGCGCTAATAATTTTAACCTTAAAATGTTTTTAAAAAGAAATAAAAACTGCTTTTATTCTAGCCGAAATAAATCAAATAAGACTTTCTCCAGAAGATAAAATATTATCAGACATACTGTGAAATTTTCCTTGCTCTGTATTTGACAAATAAAAAAAATTCAAAGGAGGGCTAAGAACTTGTGTTTGGACAAGTTTTTCAGTTTTTTTTTATTTGACTTTTTTTTTTGTACATTCTTTGCAAATTGCAAATCAGAATTTTTTTAACATGTTGATTTTCCTTATTTTTGGACATGTATTTTCCACTTCCTCTTTTTTGGGTGTTTTTTAATCTATTTTATTAGATTTTTTTATTATTATTATTTTAATATATGTTGTTTTTTCTTGTGTTGGACATGTTTTTTTGTTTTTTACATTTTTGACATGTTTTTCTAATTTTTTATAAGTTTACAAATTTTTTCAAATTGTTTTTGGACTTATTCTCTTTTGTTGGATATCTATCTATCTGTCCGTCCGTCCGTCATTATATAGTTACATATATGTTATGTTAGATTTTCTTTTTCAAAATTTGTTAGTACATGTTGTTTTCCTTGTTTTTTAGACATGCTTATTTTCAAAATGTCTTTTTATTTGCACATGTTGTCATTTTTAGAGATGTCTTTCATATTTTTTAAACTGGTTTTCTTTTTTGGACATTTTTTTGTATGTTTCTTTATATATTTTTAGACTTGATTGTTTTCTGATTATCATTTTGTTAAATGTTTTTCTTTTATTTGTTGTATATTTTTTTTCAGAATTTCATTTTTTAGACATGTTGGTTTTCCTTATTTTTAGACATGCTTATTTTCAGAATTTTTTATTTATTTATTTATTTATTTTTATTTTTTTTTAGGACGTGTCGTTTCAGTATTCTCATATAATGGGGTTGTTTCGCTCTCAGCCGAGCTCCAAGCACAATGTTTACATGAGTCTTTGTTTCATTGCTCATCTTTATTGACTGCAGTGGTGCAGTGTTCTCATAGAGTCTGGTTTGATCTAACCGTCTGTCTCCTGTCTTTTCCTCACAGCGTCTGAAGGATGAGATAGCCGAAGTCACCAGTGAGATCGAGAACCTGGGCTCCACCGAGGAGAGGTGAGTCTCCTGACAAACACACTTCAGCTCCATATTGGGTCTGATAAGTTGATAAGTATTAATGCCCTCTGTTAATGCCCTCCGCAACTGGATGTTGTTGTCCCTGCAGGAAAAACATGCAGAGGAACAAACAAGTGGCAATGGGCCGCAAGAAGTTCAACATGGACCCAAAAAAGGTGATTAGGAAATCTGTTAAGGCACTAGATACATACATTCATTGTCTATTAGAGTCTAAACCTTGAATGTGTTTGTGTTTGCAGGGGATTCAGTTCCTGATTGAAAACGACCTTCTGAAGAACACCAGTGAGGACATCGCTCGGTTCCTCTACAAAGGGGAAGGCCTTAACAAGACTGCAATAGGAGACTACCTGGGAGAGAGGTCAGTGTGTGTATGTAATTTGCTTTTAGGATGTGCTTGCATTATTTAGTGGTTGTTATCTCAAAATAAGATGCCTAATAAGGATCAGAATCAAGACAGATGTGTAATAACTAATGTTAACAAGCTCAGCTTTGGATTTTAAAGGGCCATGAAACCCCCTCGTTTCAGCAGGGTGTTTTCACACCTCTACTTTGGAAAAAGTCAGAAAAGTGGGCGTGTCCAGCTTTGTTTAGGGGGGAGTGTCAGAGGAAGAAAAGTGGGATGGTGTGGGAGTGTCTATTTGGGTGCGCTGACTTTCAGACTCAAAACACACATACACACACACACACACACACAGGGGAGAAAGTGACTGTTTACATGGACATCTGTAGTCGAATTATTTGTCAAATTATTAAATGGTGGACTTTAACTGCAGTTTGGCTCTTTCATTCAGGGAATTCATTCATGTCCCTCGCGACAAACAAGATATTTGATTCGAGGAACTGCTCTAAGCGAGTATTTTTCATGCAATGTTTGATACCGCACGGCGAATGAGAGAGAAAAAACTCAGCATTTCCCGGAAACTTAGATGCACACAGCAGGTAGCGTCAGAATGCCGCGTGTGTTATTCCGGTCACTAAATGCAGTGAAAATCCTACACAAGGTTAAAGTTTGGTTGTAGTGCTAACACGTTTACACTCGGTGCAATAGTTAACAGTTCTATACGAACAAATTGAATAAACAAAGAGCACTGTTCGCTCACTTACCAAATCTGTAGAGACAGGACAATCACCAGCAACTAGAGCCGCGTCTTTATGAAGAGAAGACTAACGTTACAAGCGAATCCGGATCCCAGCATTTGCAGATGAGAACAGCTCTCAGGTAAACAATAATCCTCCTCAGACACGTAAGTTATTGTTGTCGAGCGTCGCGTACACTGTTTATCCACGCGTGACTCCAGCTGCGCTCTCACAGAGAGAAAATGTAAACAAAACTTAACTGCAGCAAACTATAAAAGCAACACTTCACGCTTGTTTTGTCAACACAACGTGGGGTCTCTGCCGTCTAAACACTGTGACAGTAATGAATATTAATGAAGTTGCACAATAAAGCGCGCTGATTGGTTTGAACCAAGCCTTACTCATGCATTAATGCATCACACTGTAAGACGTAATAAGACACACTCTGGCACAGACGCCCAGTCTGCACGCTGGAATACACGCTATTATGTCATGACCGTGACGCAGCTTCAAAAATTCGTTTCAAACCAGAAGTGCGAATTTGCTTGAAATAACGCAAAAACAACCAATTTACACTTTTTAGTGAAATATAGGTGTCCCTAATAGTGTTTTTAGCAGTGTGGGACACATATACGACTGTCAACAGCTCAAAAATTGTATTTTTTTTTTGTTTCGTGACCCTTTAAGAAGGCATTAGTAAATATTAAACTATGATTAATAAATGCTGTACAAGTAGTGTTTATCCTTAGTAAATACATAAACCCTTATTGTAAAGTGTTACCGTGTCTTTCAAAAGTGGTTGGGTCCATCATATTTGCGTTTTATTTTAACACTAGCCAAATAAAATAGAAATCAATAGCTCATGCATTGCTCACTGTGTTTGAATCACAAAATTATTGTCACCGTGCTGTCCACAATCATAGAAGCTGTGGCTTAGCCTAATATCCACAGGAAGCTAAATTCCTGGAATCCATTGTCATTTGTACTGATACTCTGAAAATCCCATCCGCAAGTGTCTTTGATTAGCCTTTTATCCCGACTGTAAGCTCATCAGACTCTTCATGTTTAAGGAATGTTGACTCAGAGAAGACTGGAGTTCAGAGAGGCCTGCTATTTTCGATCCACCTACTGGCTCTTCTGCGTGTGCGCAAGAATCCTCTTTATTTCCCTCGCTCCGTGTCTCACCCTGGATTTCACTTCTAGTTTTCTCCTGTCTTTCAGTCTGGGTGTGTCTGTTCAGGAAACAGAGCCGCTTTTTCGAAGATCAGATCGTATCTTTTGAGCTCTTCTGTTATTGAAGGGGGTCTGCCGGTCTTTGTTTCCCTGTCAGTAGATCACTCAGAAACAGTTGTAAAGTGGACAAGATCCCCATCAGTCCAATAGGGAAATCACGTCATCCAGTTCAGTCACTTTTTTAGAAAATGATGCATCCTGAATGATCTCACATCCACTCTATCTCAGATAAGACCTGAAAAACATAAATCAGAATCCACAGATGTTTCATAGCATAAGGCAAGTTTAACTCCTACTTATTTAATTTCCAATCCATTTCTGCTGTTTAAAATTTGATATTTGAAGGGGTCTGTTGTGTAATGTGTATTTATATTGCGCATTTATCATGTGTGATCATACACCCAAAGCGAGACCATGATAAGAGTCAATTCAGTAGATGGGGGAAAATGGAGACATCTGAAAATGGAGGCGGGGCTGCTGAGATTCGCTACCTGATTGGGGCTTTTGTGTCATTGCGTATCCTTCCCTTATTCGTCAAGCCCCTATCACATGACTATAACACATGGCTTTAATGCTACCGGAAGACAGCAGACCAGCCTTCACTGTGAACAACAACATGGGCACAGAAATAGGAGCGTTGCTTGCACTATTTTCTTTTTTTTTTGGGCACCATTGTGCGTTTATTCATCTGTTACATTTAGTAACAACTCGACCTCGTCGTCTGTCCACAGAAATACCTCTCTTGCTTTCTTTGCCATTGCGTTCATTGTTCAACCGGTGTTTGTTGACTAACAATAACCAAATGCCGAGCGAGACACATGCTTTCTGTTTATACTAGAACGCGCATGCCCAGAGTGCGCGAACGGTCACGTCATAAACATTTTTGGTGGCGTAGTGTGGATGGAGATATGTTCAATAACGCTAGTTGAAACGCTAGTGTGGACGCGGATCGTTTTTGATCACAAACGTTGTTTTAAAACTAAAATGCACTAGTGTAAACGGGGCCTGAGTCCAATAATCAAGACTACAGCTTTAGCTTCTAAGAGTACCAAGACTTCTGAATTTAGCAATATAAAATTTATAATCAATAATTAATCAATAGTCATCCAGTTTTGAATATCAGCTATAGTCTGTTAATTTTCTGAATTTTACAGTTTTCACCAGCATAACGGTATAAACTAACTCTGTACTTTAGATTGATATAAAACCTCTTCATTACCTGATACAAGTCAATAACATATTGATAGGGACGCCTGTATATTGCCTGTTGCAAGCCAATGCATATTAAGTTATGCCAACATAACTGGATAAAGTACTTCAGATGAATGGTCATGGAAAACTTTACGTTTTTAAAATAAGAATACTTTAAGTTGTCTTTGAATGTGTTTGTTAAATTACAATCTACTTGTTTTAACGCAAGTCGCTTAGGAAAAAGGTGTCTGGTAAATGAATAAATGTAAGTGCACTAATTCCGCTTTCATGTTCATGTTGTTTAACAGGGATGACTTCAATATCCAGGTCCTTCATGCTTTCGTGGAGCTGCACGAGTTCACAGATCTAAACCTGGTTCAGGCTCTCAGGTAAACAGAGTGCAGAAATGCATCTCCGCTCTGTGTCTTAGCATATAAACTGATGCAAATTTTATGGTTTTACTTTTCTAGTTTTAAGTATTTTTTTTTCCGATTTACATCCAAAGAAGCTTCTGTTAAACAATTACAAGCCATGAACCAAGTTAACAAGCTATGAGAATCACAATATTACAAATGTGTTTAATTATCATGTCGTGTCTCCACGCAGGCAGTTTCTGTGGAGTTTCAGGCTTCCTGGTGAAGCACAGAAGATTGACAGGATGATGGAGGCATTTGCTCAGAGATATTGCCAGTGCAACCCTGGAGTCTTTCAGTCCACAGGTCAGACTGATTTACAACACAGCTTTCCCACAAATGAGAAAAACAGTTTTGTAATGCCCTTTTTTTTGAAAAGGAAGGGAATTGGAGGAACAATGAGGGAATTATTTTTAAAGAGGAGGCTGATTTATACTTTTGCTTTAAGTGCACGCATATGCTACGGCACAGCCTACATAATGACGCATAGCCCTACTCTGTGGCTGTCGGCGTCGCTAACATGCACCCCTCAAAAATGTTCCTACACGTCGCAACTACGTGTAGCGCAAGCTCTGTGATTGGTCGGCTTGGTAGCGCTGATGAGTCTGGGCAGGAGCGAGAGCCGTGTAAGCGGCGCAAGCCTGATGGAGCGATTGTTTACAAGTGTGGAGTCCCGTGAAGGAGCTCCGAATAGAAAGTTTTGTTTTGTGTTTACCTCATAGTTAAAGTTGTTGCACGTCCGCCGGTTCCTGCCTCAAAATGAGCGAGTTTGAGCCACTTGTACATTCAGGAAATGTTCAGAAAAAACACCAGCGAAGAAACTCGACACAGAGGAACATTAACACCTCACTGCCAACTAGCGCTTCGGAAGTGTTAATGCAGACCAACAGAGACAGCATGCAGAAGTATAAATGCACAGCTACACGCGTTGCATACGCCGTGGTTTACACCAGTCACTTGATGCAGAAGTATAAACCAGGCTTTAGAAAGGAGTTAGAAAGGGGGAATTTGGAAAGAGGAGTTTGGAAGGAGGAGTTTAAAAGGAGGAAAGAAAGGAAGGAGGAGTTAGAAAGGAGAAGTCAAGAAGTAGGAGTTTGGAATTGGAAGTTAGGAAGGAGGAGTTAGGAAGGGGAGAGAGGAAGGAGAATTTAGGAAGGGGGAGAGAGTGAAAGGAGGAGTTAGGAAGGGGAAATTAGGAAGGAGTAGTTAGGAAGGAGGAATTGGGAAGGGGAGAGAGAGGATGAGTTAGGAAGGAGTAGTTGGGAAGGAGGAGAGAGAAAGGATGAGTTAGGAAGGAGGAGTTGGAAAGAGGAGTTGGGAAGGAGGAGAGAGAGGATGAGTTAGAAAGTAGTAGTTGGGAAGGAGGAGAGAGAAAGGATGAGTTAGGAAGGAGGAGTTGGAAGGAGGAGTTGGGAAGGAGGTGAGAGAGGATGAGTTAGGAAGGAGGAGAGAGAGGATGAGTTAGGAAGGAGGAGAGAGAGGATGAGTTAGGAAGGAGGAGAGAGAGGATGAGTTAGGAAGTAGTAGTTGGGAAGGAGGAGAGAGAAGGGATGAGTTACAAAGGAGAAGTTTGGAAGGAGGAGTTGGAAAGGGGGAGTTAGGAAGGAGAAGTTAGGAAGGGGGAGAGAGAAATGAGGAGCTGGAAGGGGGAGAGAGAGGAGGAGTTAGGAAGGAGGTGTTAGAAAGAAGGAGTTAGAAGGGGGGAGTTAAGAAGGGGGATTCAGGAAGGAGGAGTTAGGTAGGGGGAGTCAGGAAGGTTTAGTTAGAACGGAGGAGGTAGGAAGGGAAAGTTATGTGGGGGGTTAGGAAGGGGGAGTTGGGAAGGAGGAGTTGGGAAGGGGGAGTTAGAAAGGAGGAGGAAGGAGGAGTTTGGAAGGGGTAGCTAGAAAGAAGGAGTTGGGAAGGAGTTAGGCAGCGAGTCAAAGCAGCTTTACAAAAGATGCCCATTATTGCAGTACAATTAAATTCGGAAAATTAAGGTTATTAGTTGCCACAGCTTTAACTAATTAACTAGATATAATAACTTTTAACAGTTAAAGTTATTATATATATATAAACTAAGTTCACCTGCAGTTATTCAGTATATAGGGGATGTTTATGTGTAAATAACCTTTTATCCAGGCCAGTGCTGGTAAATGCTGTGCTCAAATGCTGAATGTCATTGTGAACAGTTGTGTCTTTTTTTACAGACACGTGCTACATTTTGTCCTTCGCCATCATTATGTTAAACACCAGCCTCCACAACCCGAATGTTAAGGACAAGCCCACGGTGGAACGCTTCATCTCCATGAACAGAGGCATTAATGACGGAGGGGACCTGCCGGAAGAGCTGCTCAGGGTTTGTTTGCTCTCACTCATGCTTGTGGCTTTTTGTATTAGTTGTATTAGTTTTTCGCATATCCCGGACGAGCCCCCAATTTGTAATACCTCAAATGATGCATTTCAAGATGCATAAAATTTAGTGGTGTAGTTGGCGTCAATAGCCTTGTGGTTAAGTGCTCACGGTGACTCGTTCGATTCCCGCCTTGAGGTCCTACACCAGTCCTTTCTCCCTTTCTGCTTCCAATGCGTTCAATGCACTGGCAGTTGTGTTGGATTGTCAATGCAACCCTCTTCTCCCACTCTTCACACACTGATAGCAACACCGCAGGAGAAATGCCAGCACAGGCTTCCAGTATCTGTAGTTTCAGGTGCTGCACATCTTGTATCTTCACACCATAGACAACAAACATAGTGGGGCTATCTATTCATAAATAGAAACCTCAAGGCCATTGGACATTTGAAATCGCTCCATGATGATGTGTTTCCCTCTTTATGCACTGAAGCTGGCACGTTCCCCAAGTTTTTCCAGCAAGATGATGCACCACCACATTATGGGTGTCAGGTCCGAGTATTCCTAGATGAACAGTTTCCTGAAAGTAGATTGGTCATCATGGGCCAGTTAAATGGCCTCCAAGGTCTCCCGATCTGACCCCCTGACCTGAAACTACAGATACTGGAAGCCTGTGCTGGCATTTCTCCTGCGGTGTTGCTTATCAGTGTGTGAAGAGTGGGAGAAAAGGGTTGCATTGACAATCCAACACAAAGGGCAGCACATTGAACACATTTTATAAGTGGTCAGAAACTTGTAAATAACTCACGAAAGGATGAAGTTATGTTAAAACCAAGCACACCATTGCTTTTCTTGTGAAATTCCTAGTAAGTTTGATGTGTTAGATGACCCTCTTCCTATTGAAAAAAACAAAAGTTGGATCCAAGATGGCCGACTTCAAAATAGCCACCATGGTCACCACCCTTCTTGAAAAGTTTCCCCATTCACAAATACTATTATGCCTCAAACAGGACTTTAATATCAGCAACCATTCCCACTTTATTAAGGTGTATCCATATAAATGGCCCACCTTTTATAAATAGCAGAAGTGATCAAATAGATTTTTCCAGTCATCAAATAATAATCTAAGCAAAAGAAATCGAGCTATAATGCCCTCGCTAATTACTAAATCACTGAGGAATATCCACAAGATAGATGTAAATATCACCGAATTCAAGCGTTTACAGGGAGATCATGACTGAAAAACATCCACGGGTGCATATAATGGTTCACAATTGGCCACGATTAAAAGTTTGTGATCATATCTCTGTTTTGTTCTGTTGATATGTGATCCAAATATTCGTAGCACGAAACAAATGGAAATATGAGCGGATAGTGCTGCATTTCTATGGAGATCCCAGTGTAGCTGCCTTTGTTTTTGTGCTCGCCAGGTCTCTGCACGGGTCACGTGACTGAAAACTATCAATTAGGGATTTTTGGCAGCACAAATGACATCATCAGCATTTGGCTGAATGGGGAAATAAGAGGCTGAAAATACAAACTGAACAAATGCATGGCATCCTGCCTGTCCCCGGCTCTCAGATTTCAGTCCTGCTGTACCTGTATTCCTGGCACTAAACGTGTATTTTGAATGCTTTCGCTTTTAAATTTGATATCACGCGGACTGTGTGAAAATGTCCTTACCGGCTCAGGTGGGTTAAACTTTGTTTGACTGCATTTTAATTCGATAGATTGTGATGTAACGCAAACTGTGTTCTAAATTATACGTTGTGTGACTTTGATGAGATTTTAAAGCTACCTGAAATACTATGTCAGTTTTAGTCCTACAGATATTAGTCACTTGCAGTGTGAATGAAACCAAGGGACAAATCTTAGGATGCATTACCAGTGTATATTCCACTGTCCCATTCATTTCAGTGTGAAAGTGGTGGTAGTGGGCCACTATATTTCTGTGACCCCCTTAAATTTGTCACGTTTTTAAATTGCAGCCATTTGCTAAAATCGTTTAAATTATTTTTAATGTACACACATCTGATTTATTAAAAAAGAAAAATTGAAATAACACATGATCCTAAGTATTCAGACCTTATACTCAGTATTTAGTAGAAGCACCATTTTGATCTAATACAGTGAGTCTTATTGGGAAAAATGCAACATGTTTTTCACACCTGGATTTGGGGATCCTCTGCCATTCCTCCTTGCAGGTCCTCATCAGTTCTGTCAGGTTGGATGGTAAACGTTGGGGAACAGCCATTTTTAGGTCTCTCCAGAGATGCTCAATTAGGTTTAAGGCCGTACTCACACTAGGTACAGTTGCCTCGAACCGGGCCAAAGCACGCTTGTCCCCCGACGGCCCGCACTCACACCATATTGGGCCTCGGCACACTTACGTCATCGCTGCTGGGCTGTTCAGTGAGAAGCGCTGTCACTCAGCAGCACAGTGGAGATTTCTCTAGTTATATCATTTCAGTCGTTTGATATGCAGTGACATGCAGTCAAATTTTTCGCCAAACAGTCCTTAGGTATGCGGTGACATGCAGTCAGATATTTCGCCGAACAGATCCGCCATTTTTGGCGCTCATAAACAATCATAAAGCTCTCGTGCTGCAGGATTGAGGAGGTCTTCTGAAGGTGCGCAGCTGTCATGCAGTGAGGGGTTTGCGTCTTTAAGAAACTACGGCAGTTTGCGTTCACTGAACAGTAAGAATTATTAATAAATCCATATGAAACAGCCCCTTAAAAGTCACGTCTCGCTTTCAGTTTTGGGCTTTGGCGCGTTTTGCACTCACACACAAACGTACCGCGCCAAAGCCCAAGTGAACTGCGCTCAGGCACACCTCTTCCAACTGGGCCAGGGCTGGCCAAGTGAACCGTGCAGTTGTTTTTAAGCCACTCTTTCATCATTTTAGCTGTGTGCTTAGCGTCATTGTCTTGTTGGAAGGTAAACCTATAAATATAAGACTTACTAGAGCTTCTGAATTCATTATTTGACTCTTTTATTTACCTACAATAGTACTTATTAGAAAATTTATTTTCTGTTAAGTGAAATATGACATATATCTAAGTTTTTGCTCGTTTTTTTTTGTTTGCAGTGGAACAAGATTAATTTGTCATTAGCATTTGTCATTAAATAATCATTAATAATTTTATAAGAGCATCAATAATATTAAATGATATTTTAATGACAAGTTCGATTTGTACGATTGTAGTTGTGGGTCAAGTAGAATATTAACAAGCAATAATTAGCAAGGCACTGTATATTGCTTTCAGTCTCACCATAAGAGGACATTATTGTCATTCTGAGCTGACATCAGCTTCTTCATCTTATGAACTTGATTGTGTTTTCCTTCGACTCACGCAGAACCTCTACGAGAGCATCAAGAACGAGCCCTTCAAAATCCCAGAGGACGACGGCAATGACCTGACACACACTTTCTTCAACCCGGACAGAGAGGGCTGGCTGCTCAAACTGGGTAAGTGAGAATAACAGCTAACAGCTTTTCCTCTCAGATTAATGATGATCGGGCTGCTCCACCCTCACATACATCTACATTTAAGACAAACACACACAGATACATTTATACACTCGTCCTATGAGCTCATCCGATGATCTCACATCACGTCACATCTTTCTCCTCCTCATATTAAGGTAATCACACTCAGTCGGCTGCATGAGTCGAAGCTCATCCTTAGTAATGCAGTTGGATGCTGGTAAACAGAGTGAGATCACAAGAGAAACGGTGTATTTAATCTATTCTACATCTATTCATAACTTGTATTCAATTGTATTTTCATTGACTGTGCTTAATGCATTATAACACATGGTAATGATTGTCATGTTGCTTAGTTTTATTATTATTATTACTATTATTATTATTATTATTATTAGTAGTAGTAGTGGTAGTATTGTTATTGTTGTTGTTATTATTACATGGCAAAGCATATGGTCAGTAAGTCATGACAGCATATTTAATAAGTTTTTATTAATTATGTTTAAAAAAGTAATTATTTTATAGTTATACAAAATGATTTAAGTCAGTTTAATGTAATTTAAGTTATTTTAATTGACTAAAGCCCTGGTCAGATCACACAATTTTTATTGTAGGTTACGAAAGTCACTATGTCAGATTATGCGATTTTGTCTTGATAAAATCTTGACTTGTTGTGAGTAACAAATGTGCCAGATTATACAATCCTTCATGATCAGTCATCCCGTGACGTCTACAACGAGCGTTATTTCCCAAAGCAGTCACAAGTGTTGCTATAACGATATTTCTGAACTCAATTTTTTATCTTTTATCTTTCAGTCTACATTATTTAAGGGCATTCGTTACGACATGGAGTGGATCAAACTTATGATTCCTTTTTAATAATAAGATATTTTCTTTGAAATCTAAATGTTTATTTTCCTGTCATGGGTTTCTTATTAATCACACCCTCGCCTGAACTTGCCATGAGTGAGAAGGAGAAAATGAAAGCACATCAGCAGTGAGGGAAATTCAGAAGCTCAAGACATAATCTTTGAAATAATGACATATTAAAAAATTGCAAATATAGGACAGAGGTTTGTGATGCAACAATTACAGTCTAGGGTTGTAACAATATACCGGTATGACGGTTTACCACGATTTGAACGTGCACGATTATCATACCATGAACAATTGCATATCAACGGTTTTAACCCTTAAAGACCGAGACAGCCGCCCGCGGCTAAAAATAAGTATTGCTCTTAAATGTTTAATAACTTTTGATCCGCTGATCCGATTCATACAATTCAAAGATTGGCATAAAGAAGAGAATCTCAGCTTTCAAGTGCTGTATCACATAACATTCGCGGACTTTCAGAGGCTCCGGAATCAGTGCGGTTACGTCATCAACATTTGACAACGCTGATTTGACAAAGAAACGCTCGTCACTGTGTCTCCGGACAAATCAGACATGATACATTGATGCATTGTCCCTCCTCCATGCCCAGATTGGTTCAAACTCGCTATATCACAACCAATAAGCATAGGTTTCGCTTTTGTTTGTGGACCAAGCTTTTTGAACAACACGGAATGAGAGATAGGCATACATTTATGCGCGGCTAAATAAAACGCAAAAAAAAAGTTTTGCATGAAATAATTCTCATACTAAGTACTTTTGCATGCACAGCAGCACAGAAACATGACAAAACAGTGACACAGCAAAGACGAACTGCTGCTCTTGCTGTTTTCAAAAGACGCAAATGAAGATGCAGCTGTTTGTCTGCATTGCAGACAACCATATCCATATCCATAGACAACCATATCCATGCTGGCACATAAAACCTAAGGATGTTCCATATTGAATCTAGTTTCGTTATGTAACTATTTATAGTATAGTAAATATTTATATCTATTTTTTACTGAGGATTTGCACCATGTTTATTTGGACTTTATTTGGACTTTGACACATTATTTATTATTTTCTTATTTTTATTTGTTCATTGTAAGTGGTGTTGTTTATAGTAACTAAAAATATATTATTTGGAAAAAGTCAAATTTGCTTCACTGTTCTATTATTTTGTAACATTTGTAACATACCGTATACCGCGAAACCGTCAAACCGTGGTATTGTTTTAGACGATTATCATACCGTGAAAAATTCATACTGTTACAACCCTATTACAGTCAAGCGCGAAACAAATCATCCACCTGCACAGTTAAGTAGTGGAGGGGCACAAACAAAAATATAATTTGTATATTTATTAATGGAAAAAAATCTTTTTGAAACTAATTTCGTTTTCTGTCATTTTTATCTTAATTTTAATGTATCTTTTGATGGTCAGTTATCTCAAAAATAAGGAATAACATTCGAGGTGAAGTGCTTAAAACAAGTCCGCTATATGCGCCAAAACACAAATTGCCGTGAGATAGTGTTGGTTTGTTAAATAAAATAATAATCTAGCCTAAATAAAATTACAATGAAATATTAACAGTTTCCGAGAAGCCTATATTAAACTGTTTTCACAGTTAATGACAAATTTGAATAAGCAGGATATGCTTTTACAATGTAGGATATGCTTTCACAATGTATTCGCAGCACTAAACATATTCCCAGATTACATTACAGAAGAACAAACTGTGTTTGAAGCATGAGAGAACTCAGAAACTTGTTGTGAGAATGTCTGCATATTTGTGTCAGTCTGTCAGATAAAATTGCTTAAAACAACTTAATATTTTAGAAGAAGTAGTTAAAGTTTGCACAACCAATGAATGATCTTCCTGGAACCACCCATAAGTAAATATGCAGCCTGATTTTTGATTAACTGACCGGCAATATCCACTGAGATAACCGAGAAATGATTGCAAAGTGTCACCCTTGTGATGGAACTCGTGTAGAATGAGAAAAAAAATTAAACATGCTAGACTTTCTGCGATGACGTCGCAGACTTGGTATCAGTTGTCGTGAACTATGCCACATTACACGAGAAGAAACGATTCAATCGTGTTTCTCGAACGTTTACGACACCATACGTCAAGAAAGTCAGGTCAAAAACAGGACAAATTCGTGTGATCTGACCGGGGCTTAATATGATTCAGCTTAAAAATTTACATTTTTTACTGTGTATTATTATAATTTTATTGTTATTAATTATGTTTATTAATCATGTTATTTATCATTGTTTATTAATCATGTTTCTAACTTAATTTATTAAGTTATAAGGTAATTTAAGCCAGTTTTTTGTAATTTAATATGATTGAGCTTAAAAAATTAAGGCAATAAATTTATGCAAATTAAATTTTTACTGCATATTATTATTTTATTGTTATTATTGATTTTATGTATGTATTTTGTATATTATTTTCTATATTTGTTTTAGCTACTATACAATACACCTATAATACATTACCGACATGTTTACATGAGTTGATAACTGGTTATCTGAACTCCTCCGATATTATAATCAAGAAATATCATTCACACGCATACAGAATTTACAAACACGTACATCAAATTATGTAAAAGGGACAGTTCACCCAAGACTGAAATGTCTGTTATCGTTTGCTCATCCTCCATTTGTTATAAATCTTGAGTTTTTCTTTTTCTGTTGAACACAAGTGAAGATATACTGAAGAATGCTGGGAGGAAATCGCTGCGTTTTCTCCAACATTTTTCAGAAAATCTTGTTTTGTGTACAACAGAAGAAAAGAAGTTTAGAAAGTGAGTAAATCTAGATTTTTAGGTGGACTGTCCCTTTAATAGAAGCGACATACATGCATCAGGATTATACACCTGCTTGGAAACAGTTCTGATTTGCAGTCAATATGATGTGTGCCCACTAGTGGTCAAATCCAAAACTGCACCACCATTTTCTCTCTGTCCTTCTGAATGGATTCCCATGTACATTTGGTCTTGATTTATTTTGGAGTGGCTCTCCGTCATTCACAGCGACAGGAGGAAATGCACAGGTACTTGATTGAGGTAAAGTTGGTTTTATATTCGCACATTCAGACTTTCGCTTTCAATAAAATAGATTTGGCTGAATTTAAAAAGGAATTATGAGGACATGCATCATATTTGTGACTAACTCGCATTTTAAACATACTTAATGGATGTTCACAGAGAATGCATTTTTCCTTTCTAATGCGCTACTTTTCTGTTGTTTTTAAATGTAAATACAATAGGATGTGTGTGGCTGTTACGACTCACATCTTTTGAAGCACTGCCCATGTGAGCAACACATTTTTTAGATGCCATGTCAAGTTTAACTTTCCCAAGCAGCTCTGCTCATCACTGTTAGTTCCACAGCAGTGGACCAAAAGAGCTCGGAGGCAAGACAACCGTTGCAAGCTTTTGTTTATAGTAGAAAGTTGGCATGACAACGGTTTTATTATTTATGCTGCGCTTTTTTTCAAACTATTCTGAACCGTCTCTTGTTTTTAGAAGCAAAGACGCGTTCGGTATAAATGAACTCCGATCTCCTATGCAAAGTGATCAGTAAGTCATAACTTATTGTTTTAATAAGTTATTAATCATGTTTTAAAAAATGTTATACAAGATGATTTAAGTCCGTTTAATGTAATTTATTTATTTTAATTGACTAATATGATTCAACTTAAAAATCTAAGGCAATAAATAATTAAAGGAAAGGTAATAAATTAATTTGATACTGTGTATTAGTATTTTTTTATGTTATTGTTAATGATCATGTTTATTAATCATGTTATTAATCATTATTTATTAATCATGTTTCTAGCTTAATTTTTTTAAGTTATGCAAGGTATTTTAAGTCAGTTAACTGTAATTTAAGTTAAATTGACTTATAGGCTTAATATTATTCAACTTGAAATTTTAAGACAATAAATTAATAAAGGTACGGCAAGAAAAAAAAATCCACTGTGTATTATTATAATATTGTTTTTATTTATTTTGCATAATATTTTCTATATTTATTTTAGCTACTATACAAAACACCTATAATACGTTATTGACATATATACTAGGGTTG